AAAAATAAATATATTTATTTATTTTATTTCAGTTAAATTTTATTTTATTTAAAGTAAAAACATTTTCAATTTTAGTTTTACTAGCTATAATAACCCTGTTCTAAACACAAAAACAGCCATATCAATAAGTACAAAATTATCACAGGGTATTATAATAAAATATTACATGCAAAAATTATAATAAATAATATACTTACATACAAATTATTACAATAAATTATTTTATCTACTAAATCTAACAAAATCACATTATTCTTTTTTCTTAATGAAGACATTTTTTCTGATATTAATCAAAACTTTTCCTCCTTAAAAGTTTTTAGGTCATTAAAAATTATGATATTTACGCATAATTGTGGGGTTTTCAAGCAATTATTGCTCACTATGTCTATAATATGGAGGACGAAACATGCAAAAACAATAAATAAATAAATACACAAATAAATAAATAAATATGCAAATAAATAAATAAATGTGTGTATAAATACACAAATTCTTGTTTAAATACATATAGAAATAATTAAACGTGATTAAAGTAGGCAAATAAATAAAATAAATTGGTGGGCAAATGGAAAATGTTTAAGGAAATGCTAAACTCATCCTATTTATTTTCCTTTGATCACTCGTTTATTTCTGAATGTAGTTCCACATTTATTTTTCCTCTGAGCAACATGCTAATGAGAGGGTGTCAATTATGGACTTGGTCGGGCCATTTCCTGACGTCATTTTTTGATTGAGTCTCCAGCTAGAGACAACTGTAATATCAGTATCCCTTGGTCATCGTGAGATTATTCACTTTATCCGTGGAATAAGGGCTCGTTCTTTTGATGGCAGCTAGTGTTTATTAGGATGGTTTTACCTGCTCGTTGTTTAGGTACGTGTAAGATCATTTTTATGGTCAGTAAACAGTCTTCTACAACCAAGTCGATCTGCAGCAATCTCTCTCTCTTTGCGGCGGGAGACCCAAATTAGTGACATACACAAGGGTACATCTCAGTTGATTCTCAATTTATTATTGTACAAACAGAGGCACATATACATCCTTGAGAACTGGTATGAAGTGGTTTAATCGAGTAACAGACCGTTTTTTCCCATTAGTTATCAGAACAGAAAATACAGGCGACAAAACTGTTTATTAAGCAAATAACGGTTCAGTATTGCACTTAAGAGCTATGTAAGCATTAATATTTTACATTGGCCACTT